ACGGCGACCGTCGACACACGTGCGTCGACGACGAACGGGAGTCTTTTACAAACGCGGCGAAGGCTGTCGAGCTGTAAAACGACCGTGGTGCAGCCCAGGGACTCTAGGAGCCGCTCACCCGTACGCGGCTCACCAGCCAGTACTTCGAAGCCCGAGTTCCCGACAACTCAGAGTGAGAGAGGCCTAGCTGCGTCCGAAACTGCGGCAGGAAACTCGTCAAAGTCTCCGGCCGCGCGACAGCGAACCACCCGTCCGCCCATGCGGCGCTCTGCGACCATAGGGGGCACTCGCGTCGCTACATTTTCGGACTCAAGTTGCACAGAGGCGCTAGTATCTCTCAGCGAATGCCAATCACCGAGCGGCGAGATTGCCAAGAGTCGCCATTCGACAGCCTCGGGCAGCGACGGCAGTCCCTGTTCCTCCTTGGCAGATAGCACCACTAGCACGGTGCGGTGGTCGGACACGAGCCCTGCTGAGAGCACCGCTAGCACGGTGCGGTGGTCGGACTCGAGCCCTGCTGGGCACCGCAGTGACACCTCGCCGACTCCGCCGGGCAGTGCCAGCAGCGGACCGAAATCACGACCGACAGACGGCGCTGATGTCGCGGCACCATCGCCCAGTCAACTCTCAGGCCGCGCGAGTGAGGTGTCTGAGCGGACCACGCCGTCTAGCCAGCGCTCCCTGCGCACCATCCCGACGCCGCTAACCGAGGGCGTCAAAACCCCGTCGCTGAACGGATCGCTCGGCGATATTGAAACGCCCACGTCAGCCCGACAGGGCGGCCGCCGCGGAGCCCGCTCAAGTATGTACGAGGGACTGGAAGGGTTGGAAAGGCTGGGAATGAGATGTGATGGGAATGGCACATGCACCATATAGCATCAGTCGTAATGTGGTTATGACTAGCCCAGTGATAGGGATTGGGGAGTTGATAACTATTGGATGTCTGGAAACGATACGGTTATAATTGCTTTTATTTACGGTGGGTTAAGGCAGACTTAACCCACCGTAAGAGAACCGAGTTAAATTACGAGGTAGTGTTTTAAGGTGTATGTGTGACTGCAAATTGCATGGACTGGGCGTTCTGGCGTGGCGTCCCCCGACCTCGCACCCTCGTAACCCCACCTCTCGTGCTGGCAGGAGGCCGGTCAGGGCCCCGGCGTGCCTCGGCTCCTCGCCGCCGCCTGATGGCCGAGATCCAGCGCCGTGTCGAGTCGCCCCGAACGCCGCTGGAGCCCAGCCGTCCGGCGGCCGAGTCCACGCCGTCGGCACAGTCCACCGCCGCCGTCAGGTGAGCTGGAACGAGAGAGACGCTCCCAGTCCCATATTACGGGGCATGCTCTTACGAGATAAAGATGAGAACCGGAATGTTATATCCTGATGTGAATTAGGACTTGCTTTGTTGGGTACTTGTATTTGTTACATTGCTGCACGTAGTTTAAAAGGAAAAGAAGTGTAATGTCGAAGTTTAACCTCCACATGTGTTTTTGTATTTCATATTCCATCAATTTAAGTGGACAAGTATTTAGCTGAAGATGGGCCGGTGCGCAGGCGCGTAACCACGAGTCTAAAACTTACTGGGGACCACATTGAGGGCCGCGAAGACCAAATATTATATTTCAGGATCAGCCTTCGTTCAAGTGGGGGAGGGCGTTTTTGGCCACACCTTAGTTTTTTTTTTGTGCGTGAACGGAAAACCGCGGCGCGCACCGCCGCGAAACTTGGTATAGCTTTTGATACCTAAATATCGCATCATGTGTGAAAATTTTGACCTCAGGTCACCTAAGGTCAGGTCACCAGATCAAGTAAAGTAACCAAGCCACTAAACAACTTTGTGACTCTATCGGATCATTCCTACAGTTTACACCCCAGAAGTTTGAAACTCAAGCTTTTGCACGAGGAAATCAGTATGAACAATTCGTATATCTCAAAGTTTTCACATCGGTGACCTAATGTCCGGTCAATTTCGCGACCTCTCCATTATAAGTCATTGGAAGAAAATTGAAATGTTCTTCTTTTGGCCGAAAACACATTCAAACACCATGACACAGGTAATCATAACACACTGAACCGGAAAATTGCGCCTGTGACCCCTTCTATGACCCTGAGGCCATTTCAGGTCATGAAACAACAGTTTTTACCATAACTTTAGGTAGAAACATGCTAGAGCGCTGAAAACACCATGAATGTGTTCAGCTCAACAATACCAATCGAATGGCATGCAACATGACCTTTTCCGTGACCTTGACCAGAGGTTAAATTTTCAAGTTGACCTTTACAGGTCAACCTAAAGTTCATTCGAGGCGTCTCGACGAGACAAACGCAATGCCGGTAAAATCAGATACAAGTTTTGAGTCAAAAACCTTTTCCGCAAAAACACCAGCCTTGAAGCTAAGCCGTTGACTTTAGGTCCAATCTGAGAACATCATTCAGAAAGGCCTTTGAAAGAGCTATCGAATGCGCTTTTCCGCAGCACTGCAGCTCTATTGGTTCCTGCCTTATGCGCCGATTTGTAAATAGTTATCAAAATTGGGACTTGGGAGCAAAAGTTCGTGAACATTTTGCCTTTGGTGACGTCCAGTGACCTCAGCGATGACCTGATCAAAAATGACATAGTCAGTTCTGAAAGATACTGTACCGAGCTACCTGCTGCTTTTTACCGCGTCTTTCTAGCTTGCTTACTTTCCGAGATAATCTGGTGTGGCCAAAAAGCCCCCCTTCCCCCACCATGGCGAAGTTGGCTGAGAGACCCACCCGGGCGTTGGCTAAACAAAACATCATAGTTTTGTCTTCCGCTGACTACATATTACTCTTCACGTCGATTTAGGGACAATATTTGGCTATTAAAACAAATTGAGGAAGTCGTCGGTTTTACTGGGGACGGTCCCCAGTAACCCAAAAGTTACTGGGGACCGGTCCCCAGTGTCCCCAGTGGTGGTTACGCGCCTACCGGTGCGCTAAACGCACGCAAAGATGGCTGTTCTGAGAGAACCAGTGTTGACCCTAGTGCCAAGTGTAAAACCAGCTTACCCGGTTTCCCATTTGTTTGGTTCGTGGTACCTTCTGGGATTCTTACCTAGTGTGATGTTGACTTTCCATCATCTTCTCGCAGTACCATTTACCACCAAGCTTTAACGTTGCGCACTATTCCTAATAGATTCTAATGTCATGATCGGTGCCCAGTCGAGGCGTCCATAACTGCTGCGTTCGGGCGCCCCGGAACCCAGCTCGTGACTTTGCCAGTGTCTGTACCCCTGGTGCAGGTTACCCCTGCGACTGTATCTGTCCACGCTGACGATAAGCTCTTACCTCCCCTAGGTGCAAACCCGGCACGGCCGTAGATGAGGTCGGCGACGGCGGCAGTCGCTCTGGCGGGGTGTGCCGCACTGCGCGCGGAGCCGCCCACCGCGCCGGACGGCCTGCGGTGACCTCCAGTGACCCGTTGGGCCAGTCGGCACCGGACCGCACCCACCAGCAGGGGGTGAAGAGGCCGGCCGTCGAGGGGTCGCCCGGTCTGCCGGTGAGTTTCCTGAGGATGGGGCACGGGACAGGTGGCAGTCGGTCACAGGAGCGACGGCCGGACCAGGTGCAGAACTTGGAAGGGTAGGGATTGTGAGCCCATGGGCGGAAGGCGCGTCGAGTATGCTGGTTTCCGTTGACAATTTAAGCGGACTTGCGCGGATATTTACTAGACCGTAGGCCATAGTTTATCTTGTTTGAACAGAGCATATCCGACGTGGGTCGCACGGGAGCCAAATATTGTCACTGGCTGTCATCATTTTGGTTTAAACGTATTATTATGTCTGCAGAGTGGTTTTGAACACCGGCTGTGTCATCCATCGTAAAGTTTGGTGTTATCGACTACAAAGCATTTCTTTCCTGCTTGTTTTTGTCGTCACTTTTAGATGACCTGCGCGCCGAATTGAAGTATGTATATAATTGCCATCAATCTAATATGCTGGAGTTTCCCATTCAATGAGACCTTTCGTGAAGCGTTTTCAGCGCTTTTCTGGACCTGACCGAGTGATATCTGTTCACAGGTAAAGACGACTCCGGGCAACGCCAAACACTTGCTGAAGTCGCTCGATATCATGTCTTTCTTGTCGCGAGTTCACAGTATTGGAAGTAACTAAGCCTTCCTTAGTGTCTTCAACCATGTGTTGAAGGGGTCATTCATGCATATAGCTTTCACTGCCGGCAGTGGATGGATGCGTTGCTGTGCTTAGCTCATGTCATTTTGCGGCCTCCGTCTCATCCCCGTTGCACGATTGTTCATTTTGAGACGATGGGGCTGCTACGGTTACTTGGTGTGATTAAGCATGAAATACTTCTCAGCATCGCAGCTCGTTGTTGCAAAACATTTAGCATTAACTACACCAGCATTTGCGTCAGGCTGTACTTTGGTTCACTCGTCGCATCGTGCTCCAAGTTCAGCCAGTCAATTAAGCTGACAATGATGGCTGAATGAGGGTATTTGTGTATTTTTTGCGAGCCATTTTGGGGCTGTGTGATCTGAAGTGACTGACAATCTGAGAACTGGATAAGGAACAGTGGTGCCTTGAAAACTCAGCCTCAAGGTGCTCCACCTGAGTAAGGTAGTTTGAATACATCAACGCGAGCGTAGAAAGCTTTGTTTCATCGTCTTCATCAGCTGATCCGCTTCAACTTAAATCCGCGATTCATTCTGCAGTCTGAACCTCAGCTTTTGTGCGTATTAACAATGCTGGCAACATCTAGCTACTTGTTGTATGTTTCGCTTAGAACCATCATCTGTCTCGAAAACATCGCATCTCTAACTCTAGAAATGGCCGTACCACGCACACGCACTTCAAGTTTGGAAATTGGAAGCCTTGTCACACAAGACTAAGATATTAAATTATGTTAGCTAATCTGCCATAAAGCCCTCGGTATGCGACAAGCACAAAAAAGTGTCATTAGCTCAGCAACGTAGTCACTTCTCAGTTCACTTGAAACCGATCAACGTGCGGACTAAAACGCCTGTGCTTCGTACCGTACCTATATTATCACGTTACACAATCGTTCCAACCCGCATGTTCAGTACAACTTTTCGCTTCACTCGTCGTCGGCAGGGATGCCCAGCTCCTGGTCGGTCCATTTGGCGGCGTCCGGGTATTCAAACTCTCCCTGGAACGTTAGCAGTAGGCGTCAACACAACCGCTGCAGTGGGCAAGGACGGTATCAGGGCGGCGACTGTCCCTCTTCTAAATCCGTGATTTAGTCGCAAAAGACCGCAACATTCAGCAAAAAAGAAAAATCGTAAGTTTTCTTTTTGAAGAAACACGCAAATGCACAGCACATTTACATATTGCTAGTAGCTATGCCTTTTCACTGTCTTGCTGAGAACCTGAGAACCACCAATCTAGGCACAATAAGATGGAGGTAGGTGCAGAGACAGAGACAGAGACAGAGACAGAGACAGAGACAGAGACAGAGACAGAGACAGAGACAGAGACAGAGACAGAGACAGAGACAGAGACAGAGACAGAGACAGAGACAGAGACAGAGACAGAGACAGAGACAGAGACAGAGACAGAGACAGAGAGAGAGAGAGAGAGAGAGAGAGAGAGAGAGAGAGAGAGAGAGAGAGAGAGAGAGAGAGAGAGCGACAGAGACAGAGCAACAGAAAGACACAGACTGACAGTTAACAGACAGACAGAGATGGAGAATAGGTAGTCAGAAACCATGTAAGTAAATCAGCCATAATGTCTCATTTTTTAGGGTGTCAAGTTTTTTACCTGCAAATTTGCAAGCTCATCCAGTAAGTGTCAGACAAGGGACGACGGTGAAAACAGGGCGCCTGGGGCGATTTGATCAAGGTTCGTGAAATTTACACGTGACGTTTGGGATATAGAAGGCCCTTGGAGCGGGAGAAGTTCCAAATGTCACGTGACTAATATGCCCTCCGGCGCCCTGTTTTCACTGGCGTCCCAGACAAGGGAACATTTACAAAGTGAGCTTAGAGTTTACTTCTCTGATACTTGTCTGCAAGATCATGCCTTATTTCCAAGTAGAAACATATCTATTATCTATTGCATTATCCTGGAAAACCATGGCAGTTTGCTGGTTATCACAAGCACCCGGTACTTACAAAAAGATGTTCTGGCTCGTACCACATGTGGTATAGGATCCAGTACCACATGAAAGCCACTATCAGGTCCCCAGCAATCACACGGCCCTTGGGATGCTCTGTGGCAATTGCACGGTAGTAGTACCTGAAATACAATAATGGGCATCTCATAAACTGTGTTTGCAATTATGCTAAAATTTTATTTCTTTACTTTTATTCCAGGACAAAGGTGTTACACTCAATTGTGACAAATATAGCTAGAGCAGTTGAAATTGTTTGCTTAACTGCTGCCCTTGATACATAGGTATCCACTGCAAGTACCAAAACAGCATTGTGGCCCGGGGGTGAGCAGTGCACATAACAATAATGTAGGTAAGTGTACTTCGCTAATGAAGTCAACTATTTCACTATTTTTGTGTTTCCATTCTATGTGGTGTGAAGAAGATTCCGATCATACCAGGTTCAGGTTGCTCTCCTGATCACTATGAAGCTGATTTTCAACCAGAATTATCATCATTGTTTTCACTCAGTACCAGCCATTTATTCCAGGAATGTATGAAATGTACAAAACTTACTTAGTGCCTTGAAGTGGAGTAGACGATGATATGCATCTCCGGCCCTGGCCCTGTGTCCTGATGACAGAGGCTGCATTAGAGCCACTTAATCTTGCAGCAGCCTGTGAAAGCCTTCCGAAATTCCTCAGCATTTTCACAAAATCTACAAACCACTTAAATTATAAATTAATCTGCACTCTACAGAAATCCAAATCTTGAAAACTGTTTTTTGTGTTGTTATTCTTCGCGTTGTTCACTCATTGTCGCCTCTCATCAAGGAATTGTCGGTTTTGGAGACTTCTGAGTAGATCATGTAAAATGACGTCATTGATAATAAATAAAAAAGTTACATTTGTTTTTTGAATGCGGTAAGTATGCTCTAATACCAAAAAAATGCCCCTTGAAAAATCATTTCATGGAGAGACGGCGCATGACTTGCTTACAATGAAATTCAGTGAAAAACAAGACATTTGTGAAAGTATTTTGATACCACTGACGTCATTACACCACAATCAACATTAAGAATTATTTTGAAATAATGTGGGGGACTCTCGAAAAAGAGGAATGTAATGATGCGTTCGTCATGATGAGCACGTTCGTAGTGGAATAATTTGGTGAAACTAGCTCTCTCTTCTTTTTATTTTTCGCGATAAATGAAAGCACGGGCCACGGATGCACAGTGTAGGTATGTACCTACCTATATAAATAGTATTCTTCACAGTGTATATAAATACACGGATGAAAGGCACGGATGAAGGCGGCGTTTATCAGCTTAGGGCTTGGGCGGCGCCAAGGCTGGCGACATGGTCCATGGACATGCGTTTGTTGCTAGAATTTATTTACAACATATTCACATTAATAAATAATGCAGCAAGGCATAGAGGAATTGGCATAGAAGCACGTTTAGCGCTTATTACAAGACGGCTTTCGCTACATATACGTACCTATTACCTAGGACAATTGTTACACAAACCAGTAGCGGCGGAACACCGGGGGGGGGGGGGGGGGACACTGCCGACTTTTGGTCCCATTCTTTCCATGCAACGCCCATAGGGCTAATGTTAACCCTCGCATGTGTGCGGCGTTTGCCAGCTTCTAATGTGTAGGGGGGGGGGGGGGTCGGTTAGACCCCCCCCTTGCCGTTTGGCCCCTGATCGAGCTAGAGCTTCGCGAAAAAAAACGAGCGTGTTGCCCGTGACGAGAGGAAGCCGATGATACCCAATTTTAAGGTCCTAGGTCATTGGTTGACCTTCCAGGTCAGGTCAATGACCCAAAGTCGGGAAAATCGGGACCTGTTAGAAAGTCGTAAAGTGTGGCTGCTAAGGGGTTTTTCGGGGTGCTGATCACGAATATCGTGTTAGTTTTGATCACAGATGATGTCTTGAAGCATTTAGACCAGGTCGGGTCAGGTCAGGTCAGGTCAACCAGTAGGCGTCGTGACGGGTATTCGTAGTACGTGTCAACCGCCTCTGACAGCTTCGTAACATGTTACGAAGTCACCAAAACTACTTCGTAAATGTTCAAATGGTTGCTAAATTCGAATTCAGCTCCAAAAACTAGCCTAGAAACATGTAAAACTCGAAAAAGTGAACCGAGGTCACCCGAGGTCACCAAAGGTCAATGACCTGACCTGACCTTCAGGTGACCTTGACACACACGGGAGTAACATCAAATCACATGTTTGAACGTTTGAAACCACGAAAAGCTTGCAAACACGCGGCTAGTGCCAGCCGACATACGCGAAATCGCGATTCCGGCCAAACATGGTCTCGGAAAAGAGGTCACAGGTCAAAGGTCATTTGGGTCAGGGTCATGAAATTTTCAGGGTAGGTGTAAAATTGATCAATGCGAGGGTACTGAAAGTTTCGTCGCGATCGGCCGCTTTTTACGCGAGTTATTTGCGAAAAACCATGGGGGGTCCATCCGACCCCCCCCTACACATGCGAGGGTTAAAATGCCAAAATCAAAGGGGGGGGGCACGGTGCCCCGTTGCCCTCCCCGTTCCGCCGCCTATGACACAAACTAGCTACACTTCACACACTTCAAATACTTGCAGGGCAACGAAGGCCTACGACTTTTTCATGGAAGGCAATGAGTTCTAATGTAAGGTCTTCGTCGGCTGAATTTGCGGCATTGTTTTGCGCCCGTAGTTTAAAAACCGTCAAGTCACCGAATTGTAGACGGTCAGAATAGACTGGCCGTTCATGCGTGTGTCGGGGGGATGGTGACTGGCGCGGTGCGTTAGTGCCTGGGTGCCAGGTAAGTACTTTTGAAGGACATGGCCCTTGCCTCATGCCTGTTTTTAGAACGCACTACCGCCTCGGGCCGAGTACAAAAGCGGTGAATGAGAGTGAAGTGGGGCACCGGTTCCGTGCTTCTATCCTCAGGATACTGAAATCCTTCTCCTCCACGCCGCAAACCCCTCCGGGCTGGACAGGCAACTCTATCTCATGCGGGCTGCTTCCTTGGAGCGGCACCGCTGCTCCCGAGGGAGCGCACCCCGTAGCCGGGTGCAGTGAGTGCCTTGGGGCTGGGTGGCCTGTCCTCTGGACGGGCTCAGCCCCGGTGACTCATCACTCACTAGGGTGCCTGCCCAGACCAATCTCTCCCCCTAATTCCTATCATCCTGCCGGCTCTGAAATGTTCTCGTTAGACTGAAAGGGCCTAACCCAACAAAACAAAACAAAACAAAACAAAACAAAACAAAACAAAACAAACAAACAAAATGAAGTGGGGTCTTCGATGCCAGTTCGCTGCTGAGCCTGAGTGCGCTGCTCCGAGGCCCCTCCGACCGCTGCTGGCTTGGTCTCAACTAAGGTACGGTCCCTGGGCACTGGGAAGATGCGGGCTCAAAGGTCTTCCTATATATAGGTTTGGAGCTGGGGAGGCGGGTAACTTTATATTGCGAATTACGTTAGGTTATGATAGGTTATGTATCGTGTCAGACATTGTGATATTTATTCACTTTCGATGATAACACAAAAGCAAATATTCTAAATTGCCAGACGTTTCGGCCTCAGGGTGCCTTCGTCAGTGACAATACCGAGATACTCATACATTAATAAATTAATCAATATAATCTTTTACACCTTCAAAATACACATGACCTGGACATTTTTCAAAATGTCGGAGCCAAAATGGCGTTAAAGAAAACTAAGAAAACGTAGAAAGGAAAACGAAAAGGAGAAGAAAAAAGAAGAAAAAAATGAAACATTTAAGAATGAATCTCGAAAGGAAGAATACGACTGAACGACATCTGATAACAGTTATGCCCGACAATTGTGCTGTGTATGTTTGTATAAGAGAAAAAGAAGTGTAGCATATCAATTATCATCTTATCGAAAGGTCATGCTTTAAAAGTTGAACGCGTCAAAAATGTATATTTAGTTTTTTATAATCTCGAGTCTCATGTGCAGAATGGTTGAAAAATGTCCAGGTCATGTGTATTTTGAAAGTGCAAAAGATTATATTGATTAATTTATTAATGTATTAGTATCTCGGTATTGTCTCTGACGAAGGCATCCTGAGGCCGAAACGTCTGGCTATTTAAAATATTTGCTTTTGTGTTATCATCGAAAGTGAATAAATATCACATATGATAGGTTAGTTAATCAGGGCCTCCTCTAAGGATTTTTCACTGGGTGGGCAAAATTTTCGCTACTCCCCTGCCCAAGGGTGGATCCAGCCACTGTTTTGGGGTTCAACCAATTTCATAACCTGTTACCGGGGGGGGGGGGGGCGGGGGTGAGGCGAAATAAGCAGTGCCGTTATTGGAAATAAGATGATAGTTTGCAAAGTTAACGTTTGTCGTATGTTTTATGGTTAGCAATGCTCGAGCGATTCGTTCCAGAGTTACATGTACAGCCCTCTGCAAACTGCGTGGTAGGTAGGTATTCTTATTCGGTATTCTTGCTATTTTGACAATGCACCAGTTTTTGTGACCTTGTGACCTGACCTCGGGTCACTGGAACCTAAAACTCCAAGGCCAAGTGACAAACAGATGCTCCAAGTCGTGTCTTAAATTTGGTAGCGCTACGTGCTATAGAACTCACGCTATCAACGAAAAACTCTGGCATTCGGTTGCCGCTAAACTGTTAGTCCAATTTTCCCCTGACCTTGTACCGGGTTTGTGACCTGGTGACCTGTCCTGAAAAGACTAGAGACCTGAAATTGTCAGGACAAGTGCCAAAAGGTTGCCCCAGGGCCCAGAGGGTATGCGAAATTTGAGCGCCGCCGTTTTTACGTTATTTGTGAAAAACCTTAGGGGGTGCATCAACCCCCCTCATCGGGCGAGGGCTAACTAACATAATACATTGTAGTAAAGGCTACCCGAACCGGTAATGATTCTTGCTTATTTGTTCAGCTCAGCCGTATTTAGAGATTTAGCTGGCTTTGTCCATGAATAACAATATCGGCAGGGGCGTAGCCAAGGGGGAGGGGCCACGGGGGCAATGGCCCCCTCCCTTGAGCGCAAAACGCGCCATGGGAGAGCCCCTCAGGCCCTGGGATATTTTTTCAAACACTGGATAAAACGTCTTTTACTCGGAAGAAAATTGATATCGAAGTTTCATTTCTCTGACCTTCTGATGACCCAATGGGCCCCTGCACTCATCCGATGACCCCCGGTTTTCTGGGGCCCCTGGTCGCCTAGGGGGCCCCGGTCGCTTGAGGGCTAGTCGCCTGGGGGCCCCTGGTCGCCTGGGGGCCTGGTCGCCTGGCCCCTGCCCCCTGGTCGCCTGGAAGAACGTTTGTCACCTGCAGTGGCATAGCCAAGGAGGGGGCCAAAGGGACCATGCCAAGGGGGAGAAGGCCCTGGAAGCCAGGGGTCCTTATTCTATAGGGGCCCCTGGCTGACACAGTGGGCCCTTGGCGACGCAAAGGCCCCTGCGGCAGATCCTTTGACACAGCTGAGTAGTTATACTTTGGCCAAGAGAGCCCCAATTTTAGAGCCTTGGGGCCCTATTGAAACCAGGGGGCCAGTTGGATGGGATGGGTCCAACTTGGGTCCAACGGTGTGTAAACAGAATCAATGCGTTCCGACTGTTGGTCTGACCCTATATCGGTTTGAGGGAGCTCGGATCGGATCCACTGTCGATTTGAGGGGGCCCTATCGGTTTGAGGAAGCCCTCAAATGCCCTGAACGGGTCCTTAGTTTGTCTAAGAGAGCCCTCCGTCGGCATGACTGGGCCTCTGCAAGTGCAAGGAGGGCTTTTGTCGGTCTTAGTGGCCCTTAGGCGGCTTATATGACCCTCAGACGGCTTACGAGGCTCTTATGCGCTGTA